TTACAAGCTTTTATTTAACTTACAATGATTGTTAGTTGGTATGTTTGTATGGGTCAAATCTTGCAAGACAATTTTTAACCACTTCCTCTAATTATACACAGTACAAATTTTACATGTTGGTTCAGTTCCGAAGACAAAGACTTTTTATGATAATTTTGACCTGATTCTCCATCTAGAATTGGCTCCAGACGAAACCACGTCTCAGCGATCAATAGTACAAACACGAAATTTTATATACTCATTTAATAAATATTGTCCATTCTAAGGTTCATAATGACTTGACTGCTGCATCCAGGGTTGGATCCAAATGAGAAAACTCCTCAGTGACCAGCAGCACAGATACGAAATGTTATATACGTATTCAATAATAGCCTCTTAAGTCCACTATGACCTGGCTGCTGCACCCAGAGACATCTCCTCAGCAGTTAATGGTATAGATACGAAATTTTGTACAAGCATTCAATTATGATTCAGTTACTTAAATAGTGCATCCACACCATGACTTATAAACTAAGAAAATTCATAAATAAATAAGTAAAAATAAATTTAATATATTATTTGTTTTAAGGTTCTAAAAATAAACCTAGAAAAACTTACTTTAAAAATGTTTTTACTATTTTTTACATCCTAACAGTTTTCCCTTTGCGAAGGTCATCGATTCTATGATGTATCAAAATGATACATTTAACACAAAAGGCTTTCCTGACCTACTAGATTAAAATATACCTAATTAATTTATATTTATAAACCGAGTGAAGTGGGTTCAAATCCCGGGCCTCGCAGCTCTGATATTTCCATATGCGAATCATTTGTAACATGATTACCGCTTGCCTTACAGGGAAGTAAAACATCGTGAGGAAACCTGCATATCCGAGAAAACCTAGCAAGTTTTCGAAAGACATGTGAAGTCAACCAACCCACACTTGGGTAGCGTGGTGGACTATGGCCCAATCCTCCTCGTATTGAAAGGAAGCCCGTGACCAACAACAACGCCCAACGTTAAAAAGGGCTGAATACAATTAATTTATATAAACTAAAGTACCTAACCGATTAATAATAAGTCCCTATTGAAAACGTTCAAACTGTTACATATTTACATCTCAGAAATATGAATGCTCTTAGGAACTACGAATTTTCGAAGAACTTTTTTTTATTTTCCTCCTATAAAGGATTAAAAATTGGTTAGAATTTTGTATGAAAATCAGATATACTCGTATATTTTTAAACTACGCAAGCAAAGTCGCGGGTATATATAACTAGTTAAAATTTGTGAAATATGGTAAATCAGCTCTCGTAAATTCAAATTTGAATCTTAGTTTATGTTCTACAAACTAAGACAAGCTTCGTATACAAGTAAATTCTATTGCTAAACTAGTGATATCACAAACGTATATTCAATTTCTGTATCACACTACGTATTATACTATCTCATATAATTTAATACAGCTTTGTCACCTGTATTAACCCACAAATCATATGCGAAACCTCTACTATGTGTAACTATAGTACATATAGTTTACTGATGTTACTATCATATCGGCCAAAAATTTAGGCGTTAGCACTCAAAACCTATTTTTTTTACTAGCGACTCACCCTCGCTCTGCTCAGTTTCGTCCATACTTACGTTTTAATGTATAGTATAGATTTCTCAGAGATGAGATGTATTCCCGCAGTAAAAAGTATTCTGTATATAAATTTCATCCAAACCCCTCCAGTGGATTTTCCGTGATGCGGTCATTGATAGACAGACAGACAAAAATTCTAAAAACTATATATTCGGCCTTTGTATCTATAATAATGAACAATTCAATTACATATTCCTAAAAATATTTAATGCACAGATTCGCCTCAGTCAGAATTTTATTATATGTATAGATTTTTAAGACGATGGATGACAAGATGTCATTAACTTAATATTATGAATGTAGCATTGTACTTCTTTCTTCACGAAGCCAAATAATTAGGTAATATTTTACATAAAAATAGTAGTATACCTACTACACTAAGTGGATAAATAATACGCACTCGATATCGTCTATCGTTTATGCAGGTATTTGAAGGTAAGGACGAAACCTAATTTACATCAATAGTACGATAAATCTCGTTGAACAGAGTGGATTCGACTTTGCATGTATTTAACATAATCGAGAGACATTGGTAAGCTTGTGTCACGGTCATAGTATTCAAATTACGAATATCTAACTATATATAGTATATGTATAATCCATATTACGTATTATGATTAAGAAAGTTGAATAATTTTATTTGTTACAAATAAAAATGTCTATGGTAAGGCTTGTGTTATGAATACCAGATAGTTAATACACTACACATAGGTAAATAACTTTTAAATACATACATTTTATAAATATATATAATATAATGGAAAAAAATAAATGAAAACACAGGAAAAAGTATTTACTATATTTATTTGTCAAAGTTACCTTAAACCTATCTTTGTTACATAATAACCCTTCTGTTTCTCTACAGTAATAATTTCGTTATTTAAAACATTCCATGTAATGTAACACCCTATAAAGTATTTTTGCCATTAAAGCAATATTTTAATTTTTTGGAACTTAATCTTAGTTTTGAATCAATTTTTATTTCAATCCAAATCTTATTGAAAAGCATCGGTCAAAAAATTATTAGATACACAATCAGCGATAAAAAATGTCCTCATCGAATTAGCACTCATTTGAACATTTTAGCGCGCTTTAAATTTTTTTTGTGAAAACAACTACAATCATTGCATTTAAGGTTCAATTTACATTGTTGTATATTTATTTTAACTAGAATAATTACCTAAACACATTTGGTGATAGTTTTAAGAGAACTTTTGCATAGGATTGTGGATACACGGAAAGTATTAAATATAGTAGGTACTTGATGTTGATAAGTAAGAAAACTTGAAAAAAAAATAATATTATAAAATATTAGTATACAATTATTAATAATCGTTCAGTTTATCTTCCTTATAGTTCCGGTTTTACTCAGAAACTCTTGGAGGTATACATATGATAGAAATTTCATAAATAAGTATCTTATATAAACCTAGCGGTAGTCAAATCAAGAAAAACTAAAATTGGGGCATATATAAGTAAAGTGGACTCGTGTGGGATCCTCTAGACAGGTCTTTAAAATTGAGATAGCTAACTTCTTAGTTACTTTTATTTAAATTCAATCGATAAGTAGACAAATTTGCTTTATAGGGTGTCCATTTAAATTTGAAAAATAATCGATATTGCCGTTTGGAAACAATTAATACATTTAAAATTTATTATGTACAGTGTATTTACAAACCTTATGTTACTTTTATTAAATAATTTAATAAATAAATCTAAACGCCTAGCAAATGAACTACAACTAATACGATGGTGCTATGTCGAACAGTGATTCAGTGATAGTATCATTTTAGTTCAAACAGACGTATTTACAGAAAGTTGATTTTTTATATAATATAAAATAATTAAAATATGTAAAATTTTACAATTTCTCTTTTATTACACGAACAATTTTATTTTTGTTCAGCATATTTCATATTTAAGATTTATTTAAGCATTTTTAATTCGTACCTTTTATAAACATTTTTATATAAATCATAACAAAGATAAAAAACAGTACACGTTTAGGTTAGGATAGCAGCTCAAAATAGAGTAAAAAATTTCACGAGTTCTCGCAATAATTAAATAAATTTTCATATTTACATATGTAATTCTTCTTATAACTCAATGAAAACACAAATGTATAATAATAAATCAGCCTATATTTTTTTATAATAATAATCTATTTTTCTTATAAAAAAAAAGATTATTACATTCTAGAAAAAAAAAACAAAATTATGAGGAATGAGAACATGTGTCTTTATTTTTAGTAAAGGGATCTCATAATACGTTCTTAAATAACCAAATAAACATACTTGTTCACCATATATTAGAAATTTGATATTTTCTTATATACATATTTGTTTATTATTGCTCTTGTATTTTTAATAAGTTAAAGATTAAGTCAGAAATAAATAGTAAAATCTTCTCTTACTTTCTCTACTCAGTCTGATAAAATTGAATTTGAAAGTAATAAAACGTTTATGAAAAACTATATCTACATCATATTGATTTTATAAAAGTTTATTTATTAATTTTATTCAAATTATAGGATAAATTAAGTTTGTTTTATGATTTTTGAACCTATTATGCCTCAATGTTGTTCTGATCTTCATAAGACCGTACTATAGTAGCATTGAATCAAACTAAAAAGGTTTTATTTAACTAAACAAAAATATAATAATTAACCTATTATAAAATAATATATATGTACGTAAACATAACGATATATTACACATGAATAAGTTAAAGGCAAAAATTTCGTAAAATACTAATAATTTGTATGACAAATACAACGTTTTTTAAGAGCATACCAAAATTGTAGATATCGATGTGATTATTAGTAACTAATCGATTTTGTCATTTATCGTAGTATGAATAACGGAAAGAGGTAAAATAAGCTTTGGGTGTAAGTAAGGTAAATGTTTATTAAATACTCATGCATTTTACAATAAAAATTGTTATTTTACAAAGTTACACTTTGTACACAAGACTCCATGAAAATAATTCATAGATATTTTATATTTATTCTTACCTTTTTCAAATCCCTCAATTCATTTTTACAAAAGTCGCTAAGTTTCAAAATGTAATTTTTTAAAGACATATCTAAAAGAAAAGGTCTCATACAATAAAAGTTTAAATAATAATTAAAATATATTTTTTTTTACTCTCTTAATAAATGCTGATCTTCGTATCTAGATTCCAGACTATTCATAAAACGTACGCAATAATATTTTATTGCAATACTGAGATCGCTTTGACAAACCAAGATAAGTAATTTTATGGGCACAAAAATACTTAATCTCAAAGTACGGTCCTATTTGATTTCGTTATAAAGTGGAAAAATCTTTACAATATCTATATAATTTACATATTTTAGTTTTTGTGTAATTTTCATCTAAATCCATCGATGGTACTCGTGTATATAGTCGCTAGAGTGCAGTAGAGAGAAATGAATAAGTTGACTGAAAGTGCACAAGGTGATGCTGTGTTTGCGTTACCGTGCTGCATGGCCGCCGGATGTTCGCCTGTGAAATGGTAATATATATTAAAATCATTTTTAACAATAAAGATATAGTATATTATATTATAAATCAAATAATTGTCATACTAATATTAATAATGCGCAAATTTTTGATTGATTGTACAACAGCTCAAAGGGTTTGAATGTAAGTTGAAATGTAGGTAGCTTATATCCTTTTTCTATGTTCAAAAATATATTTACGCATACCACCTGTATAGTGCAGGAGGTTACGTGAGACTTACTGGTCAGAAAAACCAGTATTAGCGACTACAACCCAACGAAACCTTGTCCGTTCTAGTGGGGCGTCACAGGATCGCTTACGCGCTTAACTATGACGAACCGTTGGCTGGCCAGCCAAGGCAGATTATAACAATCATGCGATTGTTCTACTATCAAATAAGTATCAGGAGCAACCCGCATGGCACACCGTCCATCCAAGAGGGCCACTTTCTACTAATTTCTTGGCTTTACGCCCGGCTGGATTGCCGGACGCTAATGAGCTTATATCCTGGAATACGACCAGATAGGCTACTTTTTGTCGACATAACCATCACGCGAGTAGAGCTGTGGACTCTAAGTTATTAATATTTGTCTTGGCCACTTTTATCATTAGGCAAAAAAACAGAAAGAGAAGTCCACCATTCTCAATATAATTATTCCACTAAACAAATTGAAATTTTAAATTCTTCTTAGTAATATTATAAATGTGACAGTTTTGATGTTTGGGTGTTTGTTAATCACGCCAAAACGTTTGAACGGGATGAAAAGCAGAGAGGTAGATTATAGTCTGGGATAGCACATAGACTTTTTATCCCGGAAAAATGTACGGTTCCCATGGGATAGACTTGTTTTTGTTATTATATATGTATGAAATATATCCTTAGAGACAAACGTCATACATTAGAGTTGTATCTTAAATAACAGCTGAGTGGCATAACATATTACTTCCATGTACCCTAAGGACTAAGTAATTAAATATACGGCATTTTCATTATATTATAATAAGCCCTGAGAATGTTTAATCGCTTGCAATTATGTAGCATCGTTATATAAAATGAAACCCGACTCATTCGTAATGGGCTCATCTTAATTCGTTATCTTAAGAGGAACAAAATAAACCTCGCTAATGCTATTTGGTTTAATGAACATAAAGTTTAAATTCACAATTAATTTTGTTAGGATTCGTCAAATTAATAGGAAGCTATCAGTGGACTATATTTTCACGCGCTACAAAACTTTTTAACGAAGATCAACGATAAGTATGTAGTAATAAGAGTTGAAAATATGTATTGTTTTCTTAGATGGCAGTGGTAGACCACTGGTAGCGTGCTTGCTTGGGTAATCGAGTGCAGCGGGTTCAAATCCAGGGTTTGGTACTGATATTTTCATGTGTGAATCATTTCCAACATGATTACCATTTGTCTTACGGTGAAGGCAAATATCGTGCTATCCAAGAGAACCTTGTAAGTTTTCAAAAGACATTTCGAGTCCGTCACCCCGCATTTGACCAGCGTGGTGGACTATGGCCTGATCCCCCTCGTATTTGAGGGTGGCAAATGCCCAGACGTGGGACGTTAAAAAGGAATGAATACGAATATTGTTTTCTTTCCTTGAGGGATGGAATTTTGACCAATATCTCTTTAGTTTATTTATAGTGTGATTAAAATTTATTTTAAAATATATCCGAAAATAACATTAAACGTTAATTAATAGTATAAAACAATGTTTTAAAAGACAAAAATATGGAAAGTGCATCATATTACAAGACATAATCAGAGATATATATCAGAGACATATCATAAGACATATTCCGCGATAAACAATAGCATTCCCTAGGAGGGTTGACGTCAGGCAGGCGGCCGGTCGTAAAACTGTTGCCAAATCCTTTCAGCAGTACAGAAGATGTACTGCGCCGACCCCAAGTGATTGGGAAATGGGCAGGGAGAAGAAGAAGAAGATTTTACTTGAAAGACAACATGGTACACTTCCATAGTTAATACCCAATACATATGTACATAATATTATGTATATTGTAATTCCCTTTATTGTAAATAAAATCTACATACATCTGTACATGGCTTCACGCTTTATCCCTTGTAAGGTAGAAAGAGGCAGTATAACAAAGTATAACCACCATAAAGTGGTGGTAAAATTTAAAGTGGTGATTGCGAATGAAAATCACCATTACTTTAATTTAATCGTCTTTGAGAACGCTACCATCAAAAACATTAATAAAAATTATATCCTTATATTTAACTAGCGACTTATCCTCGCTTCGCTCGAGTGCGTATGTAAGTTTTATTTTTTTGTAAGTTTTATTTTTTTGAGAGAAACTCTTAATTCTTTTTTTAAAATAAATGTACTCTAAGTTACTATCTGCCCGTGCAAGTTCCGTCAAAAGCAGTCCAGCTGTTTCGGAGATTAGCCGGAACTGAGAGACAGACAGACAAAATTTTTAAAATTTGTGTTTTTCTTCAAGTGCCGTATATAATTTCATATTAGACATTTTCGTGAAAAGCTGTTATTTTGACATTACAAAGATACACGTCAATTTCATTCATTTGTATAGATAATCAATTTAATATCCAATTATTTTAGAAGTATCTTTATCAAATGGTCTTATATTCTCTCCCCAAAAATTTTGCTGTCCAAGACGTAGACTGCGCTGGTAATATTTTCCATACAGCTACATTATACCATAATCCGTTTCACTTAATATCTTTACTATGAAACTTTTACCGAATCCCTCGAAAGAACGTAAGTCTATTTCGAAGTTCCGCCACTCTACTGACTTTGTGCGATGTAACTTTTATATACTTATTCTATACAAAAGACATCAAAAATATTACACTAAAAGTAGTTTATTTATGAAAGACGTATTTAGCGAACAATGGAGATGAGCTGAAACCGCTCAGTTGTGCAAAGATATAAGGTTTTTCATATTATTTATATTTATTTCAGTTAATATTTATTTAATTAGGAAAAATGTCATTTCAATTAAAAGTTTTTTTTCAATTTAATTTAAAAAAAAAAAAACAATTAACAAATATATAAAATTTAGAGTAATTAAAAAAGAGTTTTTTCTGGGTTTTATACGAAGAAGGCCGCTTAGAGTCAAATGACATAATCATATTTTAATTATGAATGAATCTAATATATTTAAACAAGAATTGCTATATATATATATATATATATATATATATGTATATGTATATGTATATGTGTGTATATAATCTGTATCTCGAAAAACGGCTCCAATGATTTTAATGAAATTTAGCATACAGGGGGCTTCGGGGGCAATAAATCGATCTAGATTAGTTTTATGCCTGGGAAAACGCGGGTTTTCGAGTTTTTATGTGGTTTTGTTTCGCATTATTCTACGCAAAATATGGTCGTTAATTCGCACCCTAGGACAGAAGCATCGTGGTCAAGCAGCTAAGGCTCAAGTTTGACAACCACAGGTTCGTATCGTTCGTATCCCGGTCGGATACAAAGTTTTTACTTTTTTTTTGTATTTATTTAAATTTTTAGTTTGTTTTCTTTTTAAATGTTTTTTTGACCAAAACTCCGAGCGAAGCTCGGTAGCCCAGGTACTATCTATAATTTGAGCAATATAAATATTTACTTCGTATAGATTTCGAACTAGTTAAGCCTCGCATATTTGGTAATGCAAGTTAAGACCTAATGTAACATCCTTTGCTGCTATGCGCTGACTTCCTTTAAATCCATCATGATAGCCACATTCAGCTTAGTGAACTATATACGATTTTCAAAAACTAGTAAAAAGTTTTCAAAAACTAACAGGTTATTACGATATTTTCGTCATCTTTCGCAAACGAAAGGACGAAAAATCGCAAAATTGCACAATGAGACGGCTTTATCGTACAATTAATAAAAATACATCTCGACTAACGGCTTTATTAACAAATATACAGTCAGTCCCATACAAACTGGAGCAAAAGAAATAAGCATTCTTGAAGCCTTGACCTGATATTTATTGCTGTGCTAGTATTTTACTATAGTAATATTTTAACAGTAACTATAAGTCTAACTTTATTTATTAGAGTGTTCAAAGCTTTGATACTTGCGCTGGTTTAATTAAAAAAAAAAACATTAAGTAAGGTTGGTAGCGAATCAGTTCAAAAACTATTCGATGGGATATTAGTTTTTTAAAAAGTGCTAAAGTAAAGTGTCAACCAAACAAAGGGGGATAAAAAATACTTGATGTTTTTTTATAGTATTCAGTGACAAACGAGCAGACAGCCCACCTGATGGAAAGCGGTACCTGTCGCCCATAACACCTATGGTTCATGCACTTAACAAAAATACAGAACCGCAGGTGCGTAGTCACTGTAAGGACTAAGATGATATTCGTTTTGCCTGAAATTGCGCTGGCTACCTAATCCTTCAAATCGGAACAAAGAAATGTAATCATTGTTGCTTGGTGGGATAAATAAATAAGGCTCAGGCTTGACAGAGTCCTACCACCGGTCAAAATGATGAATAATGTAATGATGTAGACTCACCATGTTTAAATTTGGTATATTACTAGCATTGAAAGAAGAATATTTCAAAGTACATACTTTTATAGTTACTATAATGAATAAGGTAGATCAAAAAGTAGCATTTATGTTGTATTTCAGGATATAAGTTGTCACTGAGCCCTCACAGCATGAAAAAGTAACAAACACATACATTGACCAACTACTGCATTTACAATATCATTGTGATTCTAATAAATTATTCATAATATTACCGTTTATGACGTGAACGTTTACAGATGCGGCTTCTGCCATAGTTGGAACACAGCTATAGTTCCCACTGTCTGTAGGCGTTAGCTTCTCGATTGTTAGTCGAGACGTGAGTTGCTCAGTCCACTCTGTTTTGAGCCTAAGTCTCGGTTCTTCTACCATTTCGTTTGCATCTACTTCTTTATATTCTATTAATTTTGATCCTGAAAAGAAAAAGGTTGTCATTTTTCATCTATTTTTTAAGCTACTTCATTAATAGTGTTCGTACTTATCGAAAAACATACCGTAAGTAATATCAGTAATATCATGTTACCAAATTTAAATATTTAATTTTCGCCTATCCGTATTAAATGAATTTCAGACTTGTTAATTCAGTAACTGGTGCAAATAGCATTATGTATAAATCCAATGTTTTTTATTAATATTTTCCGCAAAATACCATAAATCACATAGAATTAGTGTCAATATAAATAAATAATAAGCCCTCACACAATACGTGACTGAGAATATCTATTGGAAAGCAAAGATTATTCTTACATCATCTCTGCTACGACGAAAACATATTTGTTACGAACAGATAGCCAATACTGTAAGTGTTATGATACATAATAAAATCGAATTACAGAATGGAAACGGAAAATATATAGCAGACGATTGAAAAATTGTTCGTCTGGTTAAAATGTAATAGAGCAAGAATAAAGAATGGAAGTACCAGAAATGAAGAACATTTTATTGATGGTAACAAATAGGCAATTTGCCAGAAGATACGTGGTTCCGTTCATTTAACAGTGTAGAAGAATCGCTTCTGTTATAAAAGTGTAAAATGAATTAAAGTAGTGGAATCGGGAAGATACAATTAAAAAGAAATCATAAGGCTATCCAGCAACGGATTTTTAAATTGGAATTGGGTCAGAGCATTTAGTGCGATATTTTTTTGGGGAATAATTTTAATTTTGCGAATTTGACACTTATTTGTCATGTCCGCTTGTGAAGGGAAATGGAACAAAAAATGTGATGATGGGCTTATAAAACACAATAATATGTTAGTGCTTATATGGATAATAGCCAATTTATTTTCATTCATTGGTACCGTATTTTTTAGAATTAATGAATTACTAAGTCCCAATATAGCAATTATTAAATTATTTTCGTATAGATTTAACTTGATTTAAGATACTTACCCTTATACCAAAATATGGTTCCCAAATCGTGTGGGCCTTGACTCAAGATACATGTTAGTGAAAGTAAACTGCCAGTTTTCACGTACAGGTCTGCTGGACCGAGGATCTTAGCCTTCGCTTCTGTGAATAAAAATCATATTTAATATATATACACTCATATAATTAAGGAAAGGTACATATTTAAGTTATTTTTAATTTAAAAAATCTTCTAAATACGCGGAAAACATTTGTTAAATACGCTGTAGCTACGCGTACATATTAATATTTGGTGTTTGTTTTTAATTATATTTTAACCTTTATATTTTTAAGTAACAAAACCTGGTATAAAGATTTCATTATATATCCGCTATTTACATTACATTAATTATTTTTTTGTAATATAATCCTGCTGTGTGATCTGTCTGATTGTAAGCCAGTATAGATAGCCGCAAGTGTTTCTGAATTCTTTCAATTTCAGCAAGCATAATGCGTAATGAAATATAAACACTTAAGTACTTTTACTTCAATAAATTAAACAATCTATTTTTATTACAGATTAATGTGACATATTGATTAATTTATCCTTAAGTCCAAGTTATTAACCGAAAAGATTTATTGCTTGCCATAAATATTTCTAATTAATCTTTTGTCGACGATTATTATCCTTGCTTAGAGTATAATTTTAAATCAGTACTTTATTGTACTGAAGGTGGTATAACACAATTTTGGGTTGCTTTTAACAGTGGGTCTTTAATAAAGAAGAATCTTATTAAAATTCGTTCCTTAATCTCGTAAAGCACGTAAGAGATAGAAGGTAAATAATACGCTAAAACAAATTTTAGATTAAATCCAAGTATACAACGGCCTTCAACATTTTTATTTGGAGATTTAATCTTCTCAGTGCCTTCAAGAATGTTTTCGTGCCACTTTTGTAATACCTTTAAGTTGATAGCTAGCCAGTGAAAGTGCCGTTGGGCAATCTAACTTAGAAAGAAGCGAAATTGGTTTTTTCTTATATCAGTTAGTTTATTGACAAACAAGATTTTGTGATTTTTTAATCTTATTAAATTTTGGGTATAGTAGTCGTATAGTATTGAGTCTTAGGTATGGATGCGTTACGGTATCGTTTTGCTTTGTCTACTTTGCTAGTTGTTAAGAGTTGGATACTGTAAAGTATAAATATTTTTTTTTTATTTACCATTTACCTACTTACAATAAAGAAAATTACAAATATACTTAATTAAATATAATAAAAATTCACAAAATATCTTAATTTCGATACGATTGGAACAACTAGGAAAAAGAATGGTTTAAAATAGGAGCAGTTATCTTTCATACAAAAAATATACTGGAATTAAATTTTTCCATCTTATTTGAAATCGATCAATGTAAACTATGGTAGCAAAATAATGTTTAACTAACACTTGATTGGCGTATATTTGGAATGGCACATAATAATATATAGGAAGGGAAAGTGTATTTATATAAAAAGATATTTTATTACGTTTCTTGATAAAATATTAATCTCACAACACATAAAATTTTCTTTGATTTTTTATCGTACCAATTAATCTATATATAGATAAGCGAAGACAAAACAGTTTATCGTCTTCTTCTCCTCTGTTTTTTAACCGATATACTTTTTTTTGTTTAGTAGCTAATTAATATCTTTCATCGTTATGACAACAACAACAAAAAATTATGATTAATATTAATATTTCCATCATTGGTCAAGCACTAGGTAATAAGTTAAAAAAATCTGCTTTAAATTGCAGATTTGTTATTCTTTAAGAATAAAAAATTATAGAATATATGAATAACCATCTCTACGAAAGGGTTTGCTAGTTACAATACAACCATTTTAATATTTGCATTATCGATGCGGAGAGAATAAAAATAACAAACTTAATAGGTTTCTTTAAAACAACAGACGTTGAAAAGATTGCACGGGTATAGTAATAGCAGTCGTTTTCTTTTTATTACTATATAGCATTATTCTATGGCCCATTTCATTTTAAAACACCAACTATCCATACTTTAAATGTAAGATCGTTAGATTTTTTATTTACTTATAAGTATAAAAGAAAACATAATTTATAATAATTTAATTGATATAAATAGGAGCTAAAATAATTAAACCTCATTGATTTAAGTAATTTTTAAAAAAGAATGAAAAAGTTTTTTTTGATAAAAGAAATACAGATAAATGTATTTTAACTGGACTTTTACTACTAACTTTTATATCGAGAAACAGCAACGGTTTCTAAAGGATAAAGGGTAGTATCCACATAGCTTTATCATAATATGATGCATGATGGTTGCTACGAAATGATGGCTACGTATAATTGAAGTACTTAAAATAACCGACGTATTTAATTATCAATATTTCATATATTTAATTTATTCTTATACTTAATTCATATAAATAAATAAATATATATATATATATATATATATATAAATATAAATAAATATATACATATGTTGGAACATTAACACACAGCACCATCTAATCCCATCGTACATACATACACACATATATAATTTTAAATACATACATATTATAAATATAAACACCCATGACTGAAGTACAAACATTCGTGCTCATCACACAAATGAATGCTCCCAACGGGACTCAAACCCGAAACCGCTGGCACAGCAAGTAGGGTCACTACAAACTGAGCCAAACGTGTCGTCTAACATATAAAACACAGTTTTCTTACAATGACCTATAAGAAAAGTAAAATTAATTTAACAGAAACAGGTTAAACAAAGACGATACGTATTATACATGTACCTAGTTAGTTTGCGACAACATTATTCATCTCGTTAAAAAGGCAAGATGCCAGCAAGTAGAGAAACCGGCAAATTGCAAGCAAAGACGGTAGACTGCAATTATGGAGTTTGCGTCTTTATGAACACAATGGGGGTTAAGATTTAGATTGAAAGTTTTAATGGTTGGAAAATTTTCGTTGTAATTCATGCCTATATTCTCGTTTAATTTCTTGATCATGGAATTTAAATGTGGAGTTTAGTTGAAAAGATATATAACTTAGATGTGATTATTTTTCTAAACACACTATTGACCATGTTTGTCCTAAATACAATGTAAATTATATTAAACTAGCGACTCACCCTCGCTCCGTTCGGGTTCATCCCTACTTACGTTTTTAAAATTAGTATAGATTATTAGTATAGATTTCTCAGAGATATGATATTTTCCCGCAGTAAAAAGTATTCTATATGTTAACCCGGATAACCAGCTATTACAATACCAAATTTCATCAAAATCGCTCTAGGTTTTTCTGTGATGTGGTAACAGACAGACAAAAATTCTAAAAACTATAGATTCGGCCTCCGTATCGGTAATAATGTTTGTTTCAATAAGATTTTCCAAAATATATTTAATGCACAGATTCGGCTCAGTTACAATTTTACTATACGAGTATATACAGATGTTGGTGTGAACAATAGTAAATCTTTTGAAATTATTCAAATTCATTTAGTTCCAACGATTAAAGATTCCCACGAGACTCTCCAAAGATTAAGTTTGTTCTAAGTAATAGAACGGGGCAAGAGTCTCAACATTACAAAGGAAATGAGGAAACTGCAAGTAGCAAGGCGCATTACATTGCAAGTTACGGCTTTAAGCGTAGTACGAATGTTTAATTATTATACAATGTTTTTTACACCTTCTCATACTTTTTCCATATTAAATACAAGTACCTGTGCCACCGAGCTTCGCTCGGAGTTTTCGGTCAATAATACATTTTTTTTTAAAAAATCGTAAAACTTGAATAAATACAAAAAAAAAAACAAAAATAAATTATACCTTTGTATCCGACCGGGATTCAAACCCGGACACCTATGATTGTCAAATTGCGTCTTGGCCTCTTGACCATGATACTTATGCTGGAACTGCGAAATTATCGACCATATTTTGAGTGGAATAATGCGAAAGAAAACCGCATGAAAATTCTAAAACGCGCGTTTTCCCAGACATACGACTAATCTAGATCGATTGATCGCCCCCGAAACCACAGGTGTACTAAATTTCATCAAAATCATTGAAGCCGTTTTCGAGATTTAGATTATATATATTATTTATTATATGTATAGATATACATACTCGTACAAGAATTGTTCGTTTAAAGATATAAGATTACCTATGTACAAAACATATTTACTTTGCAATAGATAGAAATGAATTAAGAAATTAATTAGTAAAGGATAAAGTCGTATATTAGAGACTTTCGTCAAACACTGCATGACACGATTTTAGTTGTGTTTATTTTTGCGACTTGCCCTCGCTTCGCTCGGGTGCGTCCAAATTTCATGGGTTTCAAATTTTTTGCACGGAATCCTAATTCTTTTTCTTAAATAAAAGTACCTAGCTTAAGTTAGTCCTTATAACATCAGCTGTCTTCTAGTGAAAGTCCCGCCAAAATCAGTCCAGCCGTTTTGAGATTAACCGAAACAGACAAACAGACTTACAAAAAATATAAAAATTGTATTTTTAGAAAGTATTGTATATAATTTCATATGCGTTCAGTAAAAAGCTGTTATTTTAACTATACAAACAGACATTTCAATTTTATTTATCTATATAGATGAAGTAACATGAGTATTTAAATACTATATATCTTTAAAAATAGACCTTTAACATTATTGAAAATTTGAGAAAAACTTTATATGTATATATTTTTCCAACTTATTTTTCTACTCTTTTACATTCGTTCATTGTATATCTGAGAATACTTTTATATGTAGGTACATACAACACAAAAGTTCAGTAATTTTTTTATCCTATCTGTTTTGTCTTTATCTATCTATACATATAAAAAGAACTATGTCTATTTTTTTATAGATAATACTAAAGCGCGCCAATAGCTAAACTAAAGAAAAAATCGGTTGACTAATGGTATACAAAACTGTTTTGGTTTTGCCTATTAAAGGAATTTTCCGAACTCGCAAATGCTTTTATTGACTGAAGAATTTTAAAAGTAAAAGAAAGAAGAGTAGATTGAAGGAAGAGATAAATTCAACCAATTAAAAAAATTGCATTAAACTATTTCAATTTTTACCTCATACATCATAAACTAACAATTCGGACAGAAAATGACTCAATCATTAGAACTGGATAAAGATTTTTTATATAAATATAAATTACAATATTATTTTAATTTTAAAATAGCTTTACGTACATTTGAGACAACTTCCCAATCCTGGCTGCCACTGAGAATTCCTTAAGAGAAAAAAACGTAACAAACTTGGACCGACCCGGGATTTGAACTGTGGACCTCCAAATCCGTACATACTAGCCGATTGACCATTGGACCATTGGAATTATCATAATATACATATCTAGATTTTAAATTGAAAAATATTTTACATTTATAAGTTTTTTAATATATTATAAAGAATATAAAATAACTTTATTCTCGCAGTACCGTTTACAAACTTTTACTTTACAAAACGCGATATAATTTATTCTACTGAGCTCAATTTTAGATCTGAATGCAAATTAAAGCCCTAAAAACCCACTAAAAGCAGTCAAACGATGGTACTTAACTAGTTATATGTATATGTATACAAAAGGACCCTTCAATCATTACACACCTCATAACTTCTAATGGAAAGCAATCGAAATCTATGATCCGTATAACCGAATATACTATCTTTTATCAAGTGAATGTAACCTTAGCCTAGATATGGCTAATCTAAGCCCTAAAGTAAGGTAAGACGCCGGCCGGCATTAATTACTAAAACTGAAAATTGCCAAGTCAAGTATCAGTTAGCTTGCTTTGTCACGCGTTTACGACTCCAGTATGGAAATGAAGATTATTTTGTTATTCAATGGAGTATTTTGAGATTTTTGCCATGATTTATAACCTGCTTTATTAAAAATATGACACTTCCTCGTCGAGCTTTCTTTTAGGGTCCCTTTTTGGTAACAATGGCTTAAAAAGTTCCAACTGATGATTTTTTTCTAGTAATTAAGAATGATCGGGTTTATTTTATTTTTTAATGATCGGGTTCATTAAATTGCAAATAAGAGTGGTATTGTATTTTTTTTTGTTTTCCTTATTTATATTTTTAAATGATATCTATCTTGCAATCTATACATACATATAATAAAATTCTAACTAAGCCGAATCTTTATATTAAATATTTTTTGGAAAATTTTACTAAATATATATTATTTTCGATACAGAGGCCGAATCAATAGTTATTAGAATTTTTGTCTGTCTGTCTGTATGTTACCGCATCACGGAAAAACCACTGAAGGGATTTTGATGAAATTTGGTATGATGGTAGCTGGTTATCCGGGTCAACATATAGGATACTTATTACCGCGGGAATACGTCTCATTTCTAAGAAAAAACACAAAAACTGCAATGTAAGAGTATACTAATATGGAAAACCTAAGAATTTGGTTTTTGATTATCTGACCGCGGGCGGAGCCGCGGGCAATGCTAGTATAAAATATAACCATAATGTTTCATCATGATTTAGGTATGTAAATACCATACGGTACGAGTATTTGTGTATATACATATGTATATGTATATCATTTTGCATTACACAAATAGCTATTACTTAGATGGCGCGTCAAGTATTTTATCAAATTTCTAGAAGGTACGTATAAACCTAAACCACTTGGAAAATTTTCGAAGAAATTTCAATAATACATTTTCCAACCATTCATTAATAAAATACAGTTAATAATTTTGATTAAAGCTTTATAAATGAATAAAGTTGTGCTTTTCGTAATTGAATTTAATTAAATTGAAATATAATTGAATCTTCGTGAATAAGATGGCGAATTAAAGCTAAATATATGAACTTACCGACAACATTCAGTTGGAATGCTAAGGACATCTTTGGTTCAGTGTTAACCTGGCATTCATAGATGCCAGCATCCCTTTCCTGAGGAAATTTTATCTGCAGCGTCCAGTTCTCAGATTTATCTGGTCGTATGACCTAAAAAAAATATTTAATATATCAAACAAACATATTAGATGATTTAGATGTTCTGTTATGATCCTACTGACAGAATGTTCAAAATGACAGTGATATCATCATCAATTTTGATTATTTCAGCTTAATCCAATCCTTTATTAGTAATCACAGTACTTATTAATTAAATTAATAATTAAATACGATCATTTTTATAGGTAACTAACTATATTTAGGAAACTGTTAGAACTCTCTCTCAACCTGCGCTGAAAGGAAGCAGCTCGTTTCCTCCTAATGGCTGTAAAACCATCAAATGCGCGTCCGTTCATTTCCGATGCATTGCAATATCGGGTCAGCTATATCATCCTAAATAATATAAATTTTAGATATAAAAAAGAAGTTAAAACTTTTTGACAGTTGTATATTGACAATGTTACATGTATGTATTATTCAGTCTTTTTAACTTCCTACTGCTGGGCAGGAGTCTGACTTAATATAAGGGGGATCAGGCCATAGTCCACCACGCTGGCCAAGTGCAGGTTGGCGGACTTCACATGTCTTTCGAAATCTCGCTAGTTGTTCGCAGACATGCAAGTTCCTCATGGCTTTACCGGTGTAGTAGTACTTCACAAGTGATAATCATGTTGGAAATGATTCGCACATGATAATATCAGAGGTGTCTGGATTAGAACTCAAAATAGAGGACTCGGGATTTGAACCCGCTTCACTCGCTTTCCCAAGTGAGCGCGTTACCACTGGGCTACCACTACCCTAATAATTTTTCATAACATTATTATATTGACGATGCTAGGAAAAATTCTTAATTTATACCTATTATCTAGAAATGCTACACAATATAAAATTACTCATAACTAAAGTAAGAATGTCTATAGCATATAATAAGCAAATTTTAATGCAAATTTATAATTTCTAACCTGAAATCTTTGATCTGATGTATAAGTAAGTATACCAGCTGTCAAGATATGAAGATCTCGTTTTCTTATCCATGATACCTGAAACAATATAAGTTGATGTATTCTTTTTTCTTTTGCTAATAAATCATGAGTCATCTACATCTGAACCTTAACACGATATTAATTTTCTATATAATAAACTAGCATTTACACGCGGATCCTGCTTAGGTTATTTATTACTCTACTTATAAAGGTTGTAACGTGATACTAGATAGCCTATAATGATTTATTATTATCAATAAATAGGTATGAAACGCAAAGAGAACTTCCCAAATCGGTCTTACAGTTTTAGAGGATAGAATAATCAAACAAAAATCTCCTCATATTTATATATTAGTATAAAAAGTATATATCGATGTCACACAGTAGATTTTGCATCCTGAAATTAAGTACCTATATAATATTTATCATAAAAAAATGTAATATATGCCATAAAATAACCAAACATCGTTAAATATTATCGTCAATCTTCCCCAGCTCTTTACAATTTCTGAAATAAAAGAGATATGTCCGAACGGAAATCGAGAATTTATCTTTTATCTTATGCTACGTATCCATATAATATTTTTTGCTACGTATAATCACTGAGTAATGACCGTTCTTTCAGAAGAAGGAACTGGAGCATGAATTACTGCCTACTTACGCATACTATCCCGTAGATGAACTATTGAAATGAGTTTGTTTATGTCATAATGATAAACTTCTAAGCTATATATAAATATTTTCTTTATTCTATACTCCATTCTTATTAAATAAAAGTAAAAGTACCTCTGTTTATTACCTTTCCACGCTTAAACCGCTAAACAGATTTCGATAAAACTTGGCAATTGCATTCTTGAAACGGACACAGGCTACCTCTAAACCCCGCCCCACTTACCTCACGGGCGAAGCCGTGGGCAAAAACTAGTATGTATATAATATAAATTGCATTCATAAAAAATGTAATATTTAGTTATATAAAAAAAACACTTAGAAGAAATACGCAGAATCAGAATTTGTATAAAATTCAATGGATATGAATACAACATAAAGTAAACTCAGTTCTCTTAAAAATTAATCTGGACGAGTGCGAGTCGGACTCGCCCACCAAGGGTTCCGTACAAATTTGTAAGAAATGTGTACTATAACTTAACTTAACTTTAATTTTCAACTTTTTTTTTGTTGTGTGAATTTAACCTGTTTAAAGCTATACTTCTTTTGGCGCGTTATGAAAAAATAATGAAAGTTATTTTTTTACGATGCGACACATTTAGACCATTTAGACGATGTAGTACATACTGTGTGGATCGCAATAATAACAGTAATTCTGATATTTTTTTTGTCTATAAAGGTAGCAATATTGTTGCTTAATATTTTAAATTAAAATAGTAGCAATCTAAATTAATATTTTAACTTATTTTAAATTACATATATAACAACAATATTGCTTAAATAAATAATTAATATTTTTTAATATTCTTTATAGTTATACATAATATAATAATAACAACACTAAATAATATTAGTAATTAATAAAGTATAAAAAAATGTAATATTTATAATAATAACAGCTAAAATTAAATAAATAATATTGCTATACTTAATTATAATAATTATATTTTTTTAAAATGTTTAGAAATAAAAATCTACAAATATTGTAAGGTACCTTGTTGCCATTATTGAATTTTTGAAATCATTTTTGTAAAATAGTGGGTAGGCACTGTCTGTAACAAGTGTATGACGCCTTTAAGACGTCTATAAGCTTAGTCTCTCCCGTAACCATGATTGCTGTAAAGCATTCAAAACGCCGAGAACCAGAAATCAAAATAAATTCGTGTAATAATCCGAAAAGATAGTTTTATTTAAGATTCTAATGAATTTAGTTATGAATATGGTCTATATCCTTGATCTTATATTATACATACAATAGTGTTTATTAACGTACCTATCACGCAAGAGAGACTAATTGGTACTACTAATGGGTATTATTGGCCTTGGGCCTAGGTTATCTATGATATCCAAACGTAGTATATAAGCTGGCTAGATAGTATTCGTCGAATTTCGATTAGATATATTTCTATACTACCAAGGAGACGTCATGTTAATCTTACACAAAAGGTCATTTTAAAATATACCTGTAATAATAATATTAATATATCTTTGCTAGGTACGACCCATTCTTCAAGCTGAGGAAGATAAGGACTATTCTACTAAATTGACGGACGCTCCATGTCTTTTGATCCCTCCACGACCACGGACACGCCGGCGTTACAGTTAACAATAGATTTCTTAGAAATTTAATTAATTTCTTAGAAATTTACCTGGAGGTGTTAAGTATTAATCGCGATCTCCTAGACTTGTAGGTACCCCGATCTTTTTACACATAAAAAAATCATAGTGTAACCTCGGGTTTTTAGCTTGTCAGTTTATTTTTATAGTGAGAGCGCTTAAAAAAACCACCACTGGACATAATAATTAATCATAACCAAAATATACTCCAATAAACTTTTACAAGACCTTCCTTAGTTATAATATGTAAGGAAAAACGACAGTAAAATCTCCAATCAGTATAGTCCATTCAACTTTATTTAGAAATCCATAGCTATGTATATTTATTATAAAAAGTAAAAGAAAAAATATAGTTTGAAGATGTTGATTTAGGACTGGCACCCTTTTAGTTAAAGCCGTTATGATTTTTTTCGATATATTATTAAATTTTTAGACTGTTTGAAGGATAATACTTTTTAAGATATTTATCTTTTCGGGTTTTTTTTCGAGGATTTATTCTGCTTTTTGGTCTCTCTATAACCATGATTGCTGTAAAGCATTTAAAACGTCGAAACCAAAAATTAAAAAACCACAAACCAAAAACCGGATACTTCGTTTTATTTAAAATGTTTGAATAATACTCTATTCTGTTAGCTTATTATAATTAAATTTTACTAACATTTTATATACATTATACAAATATAGCTAAAATTAATTTAAAACACTTTAAATACTTAAATATTATATTACTAAAAGTTTTTAATCTATTAACTATTTAATCTGTAATAAAATTGCTTAACTCTAATTAACAATATGAAGTTTTGTACCGTCCATACTAATATATAAAGCTGGAGAGTTTATTTGTTTATTGGCTTTAACAACTGGCTTCGCTCGAGGAAAATTATAGGTTATCTTACATCACATCATCCTTAAAAGAGTAGATAATTGTACAAATTGACGCGGGCAGAGCTGCAAGAAAATACTAGTCACGTAATATGATTATATTCGTCGTCTCGTGTTTGAGAAAATGATAAGTAAACATTTAGAGCATAAAGGTTATTTTGAATTGAGATTGGAAGGCTTACGCATGAGCGATAATTTTAGGTTCTCGTTGATCCTCAAGTTATAATAACGACCATGTACCGATTACGGTACATGGTTGTTATAAAACGCCTTTTAACACCTCCAGGTAAGTTTCTAAGAAATTAATTAAATTTCTAAAGAAATCTATTGTTAACTGTAACGCCGGTGTGTCCACGGTCGTGGAGGGATTAAATTTTGAATAGATGGTAAAGCAGTGTATATAGCATTTAAAATATTTTACCGAAACTAGACATGTGTGCTGACGATACAGTGGTTGTTGCGTTTGCGTGAGAAGTTAAAAGTGCAATATCTTTCTTTCATTCGCGATATAAGTTGGGACGATAATTTAGTACGACCGTAGAACCAAAGACTTAAGATGCTCTTTAAGGCATAACTATTACTGAGATTTTCTGATAGGAAAAGCCTATAAACTAAACTTGACCTGACTCGAGACTCGAACCTAAGGCCTCCGGATCTGCACTCGCACATGCTAGTCGCTTACTACTAAGTCAACTAGGGCACAACATAATAAGGTAATCCGTTATGTGAGATTCATTATTTTTTACCTTATCTCATCTAAACAACTCAATCAATCACCATTAAAGGTAGGCATATAGTTTGATACATATTACATGAAGAGTGATATAGGGTACTTTTTATTTATATTAGACCATTAAATTAGTAGTTAAGTTCGTTGTAGTCTTTTTGAAATATGTCCAATATTATTTTACATGACGTTGAAGTTCTAAAGGTAAGTAACATTCATACTTAATATATATCCTAAATGTGAAAGTTAGTTTGTTTGTCCTTCTTTCACTTTGAAACAGAGTAACGAATTGGCGTGATTTATTGTGTGAAGATAATTGAAGGGCTGGAGAGAAATTTTTACCGCAGGCGATTATCTCATTCCCATGGAAAAACAAGTTTAAGTTTTAATACTACCTAAAACAACTTATCATGCCTATATATATATATATATATATATATATATATATATATATATATATATATATATATATATACTTAATATATAGTCTATCCATTCCATACTAACCGTTAAAACATACATGTCTATGGTGAGTCGCTAGTTAAAATATATCAAATTCCAACACAATAATATTTGTTCCACTAAACTAAATATCCACACTACTAGCTAGACTTTCATTTGACGGATTCTAATCGTTTACTGACAGAGCTATTGACATAAAATATCGACTATTGAAGCCATATTATTTAGCCAATTTGGTTTCTATCTGTATAGATAAAGGAGGATATGTCAGAATGTACTACGTTCTTTGAATTCCTAGATTTTGCACGTATTTTGTGTACACTATTTTTGAGGCTAGGTTTAATTTAAGTCTGTGTTAATTTACTATGATATGAATGGCGTGTATTGGTAGTGAAGTGGCATTGTGATTAAAAAAATAGCTAAAACAGGTTTAATTCCTGGAAGAAAAAAGCAGAGGATTTTCTTAGATAGAAGATAAAATATCTACGTTAATCTTTATATTTAATACATCACGTGATAAATTTAAAAATTATTCAAGTAGAAAATATCCACAATAAATAATTCAGAATCACCTTTGAACTAGTTATATTTGTACGTAATATTTTAGTCACTGTGATGGTTGAAAATACCTCATAATCAATACTCGAGAATTTATAGTGTTGTGTTTCACACAAGAGGAATAATGTCTTTTGAAATATACGAGTATATAGCCTAAAAATGTGCAATAAAAGTTCTTTTTAAAGTAAGAATATTCGAAAAAGTTATTTTTGAAACTAAAAATTAAGGTATGAATTTTTAATTTTATCCTTAGGCTTACTTTAAATCGTTTATCACACACCTTTTATACTATGTGTCTTATATATTGGAAATCATTAAAATTTCTATTCATTATTCATATCATTATTTAGTAGTAAATTGTTATAAAACATACGTGAAACCAGTGAAGAGTAGTAGGATAGCTTAAAAATTGACTTACCGCTTTATCACCAAGTTGTTCAACCCTACAATGTAAGAACGCGGTCTGTCCGACCACGGTCGTCACATTCCGTGGGACATTGTACTCGAAGTATGGAAACGAGCCCACACTGTCCTCGCCGTAATGCGCGGAACCTGCAACACGAGTAACCTCGTTATAATGTTAATAGAGTCATTAGTTCACATCGCTCGTGCTCTGAAAATGTTACCTTCAAATTTTGAAGTAAATTTTAGTACGGAATATGTGTACTTTCATGAAATTCTTTGATAAACCAAAATGTAGTGCTCCACATAATTTGATACTAGAATTAAAATTTTAACTGTTTATTTTTACTAAACAAGATAAGGTAATTTGTCGACGGACATGTTTCAGATATATGAATTAACAACAAGTCACTCTATTCTTCATTTTCTGCTTATATCGAGACATTATTTGTTGAACTGCTTTGACCATGTTTTACATCAGCACTGTTATTATTTACCTCAGAGGAGAAACGAATTTGTGACTTTTGGCTCGATAGGCAATATAGTTAAACAAAAGCTGATAATTTCATTGTTAATATAGATTTCAAGATTTGGTTTCCATATATAATAATTTGATTTTGAATATGATCAGTGTTATATCATTACAAAAACCTTAGCATTGCATATGAATTTTACTATTGAATGTAATTTCCATTATTTACCAACAGATTAAAAATGCAATTGGAAAATTCAAATATAAATATCCAATAACTCGGCCTACATTGTGCAACAATTAAGGCAGCGTTACTCACGTTATACATAAATAATGTGACAAAGCTGCAGTGAGGGTAAATCTGAAAATAAATTTCCATACATGTTTGCAAACCATTTACAAGGCAATGTTTTTTGGAATTCTGTTTGTAGTTGAGCCCAAATAGAATGGTAAATGACACAATTAGCGTAAACAAAGGTGAGTTGATTAAGAAATTATGTGGGACTGCGACAACATCTGAGCTCTAATGTCTGCCAGTCTCCTAAAATTTAGGGGTTACAAGATCCCTTTTTACGTGGAATTGATGGTAGAAAGTTTGGACACGGCGAATGAGGGTTGACTCCATTTTTGTTTTGACTTTTTGCCCTCGAAATTTGAGTTTGTTCGTTGTAACTTTTACTTTGAACCAAAGTTTAATACGCAAAAATGAAATTAACAAATTGCGTTACATTTGTATTTCGAGTTCAATATTACTTTCTACGAGTATGTTTGGCAACGTGTTACGAACATGAATATTACTTTATAGCCCTGAAACATATACTTATTGTTTGAAAATCACCACATTTTAAAATAAAATCTTACTGCTGGTATTATCATAAATAAAGAAGTGTGTCGATATATTTCTCCAAATTTTACAAAGCAATGGTTTGACGTGAATTTGTCTAATTAATGTCTTTGAGATGGAGAGACACACGCAATAAAGAAGATATTTCAATGACATATCAGTATTGTTTAGTATTTTTTATATGGCATCATCTTAGGTCGGGTTTGAAATGACAGTTGTCAATGGCATTCGGCATCTTCGGTCGGTGGTACGAGAGCTCCCCTTTTGAATTGTGTCGGTTACAAAGAAAAAAGGCTTATATATTATATTCTACAAACACACAAAACACCCCTAGTGATCAGTGCCTACGCAGGATTAAGGATTCCGGGCCCGGCAACGCTTCCACGGCTAAGTCCACGTATAAGGTACACAATATATATTATAATTTATTAGCGTTAGTTTTATATATTTACTCAGCGTAACGCGGATCACACAAGTAAATTGCAATGAATTTTATCAATGACTAAAGAATGTATGATTTAAGTTCTTTGAAGCGTCGCTAGTTCATAATAATATTAAATGTACATGTAAAATAATACCAGACGCGCGGGTCCAGACTTACCAATTGACGAAATTATATATATTTTTTACAATTTCAACTTGCAAAAAGGACCTTCCCAAAATTCGTCACCAGCTCTCGGACTAATGTTTCTTTATTTGTTTGCTTATTTTTCTTCCACATCGAAATAGAGTTACAGATTGTTGTGATTTCTAGTGTAGAGATATTTTGGGGCTCGAGATTATACTTCTAAGTGATCTTTATGTATCACGGCATGTCACATGAGAACTCGCAATAATATAAAACCGAACTAACTAACTAAACCGAACCGACTAGAAAGGTCACAGTATAGTAAAAACAAAATAAAAATTACATTAAATAATTTGATTTACTCATTAAGTAACATTATTTTTATAAATTTTGTAAATATACTTTCAGATAATAAACACATTAAAATTAATATAACATTCTACGAAACTTAATTACAAATATCATTAAGCGTCCCCGCAGTAAAAACTTTTCCTCGTAGTTCTTTCGGGATGTGCTGGGCGCACACTGCCGAGCTAAATAGTAGAGTTATTGTCGAGTAAAAATATAAAAATGTTTAGTCTGCGTGGAATTTAATAATTAAGGAGAAACAATAAACTGTTATGACTAACAAAATATTGTTTGCTTAGATAATATAATCGTTAGTTAGAAACTATAATTATATTTCAAATATTTACATTGAACATTGAAATTTATAACAAACGGTGAAGGTCAGAAAATAGGTTTATTAATTGCTTTTCATACTGTCTGGCCTAACAGGATCGCTCAACATTAGACTAACTAACCCCTAACAAGTATGGAAGGCACTCGTATTGAAATCGAGTATCCTGAGGGTTGGACTTGGTTATACATATGTTATTCTACAATCCTTGAAGAATAAAAATCTAAACAAAATATATTACGGTATTTTATGATTTATGATCATAATATGTCATAATGATTAAATTTATCATTTCAGTACAATTTTTAAATTTTTTTATTCGTCAACGATAAAAAAGATTGACATCTCGTTGGCTCACTATTACAAGGTTCTATGTTAATTTTAATAAAGTTTAGTAATTTTTACATAGAACTTCGTTATTTTGTTATCGTAAAAACAACAACATGGAACTATGTAAAATTGAATAGTTTGTAGTTTAAGTGCCGCTATCTAGTGGTTTGTTTTTGCAAAACTGTAGCTAATGACATATAGAACCTTATAGCATTAATAACTAAATAAGTACTAAAATTATAACATAGAACCTTATAATTGTGAGCCAACGAACTCTGTCTAAGCCTTCTTTTGATATTCGATCCGCTAAAACCAACAAATCCACGTGACATTTTATAAACTGTCTGTATATTAGTAACGTAATTTTAAATCAGGTTCGTTCGTGCAAAAAAAGGAAAAAAATAATCAATGAAGGTAGCAATATCCCAGTGGTGACATGCTCGCCTGGAAAACCAAGTAAAGTGGGTTCGAATCCCCAGTGTTGCACCTATGATGTTTTAATAAATATATTTTAATATAATTACTAGTTGCCCGGTGAACGAAACCATCGCGAGGAAACCTGCGTGCCAGAGGGAATATAACTTTCGAAAGACGTCTAGTCCGACAACTCGCACTTTTACAGCGTGGTGTACTGTGGTCTGATCCATCTCGCATTTGAGTCTCATGCCTCAAAGGATGAATGAATTATGGAACTATAAATATACGTATTACATAGATGAAAATATTATTATATATTTTAAGTTTTCAAAGTAAAACCCTTATAAGTACTTAAGTCAGCTCGTAATCGCTACTTTTTTAAAGTAAGATAGAAGACAAAGTCAAGATTCTAAGTGGCAGGTATGCAATTAGACTGCAATATCAAGAAGGTCAAGTAGCTTTATAGATATCATGTTAGAGTTAGAGAATTTTTCATAATAAAAATGCACGTTAGAACGTTTTACATTTACAAGTGTATTTATATTATAATAAATTTAACTTCGTATAAAAAATTACAATATATAACAAAGGGATATAAAGAATTTACTCTAAAGATTAAAATAAAATTTCTTATTGTATCTTTTTAATAAAAATCTTAAGTTTTCTAGATGAGCTCAGAACAAGGCTATAATGAAGGTGAAGAAAGTATTTTTGAAAACTCATTTCCTAAATAGAGAAAAAGTTAGTGTAGAGGTTCATCATTTCTGAAATTAGAAATATGGAAATTGATGTTTAAGCTTCTATTTATATCAATGGGAAACGTAATGGCTCAACGGATTTGAGTGGAATTTACGACAAGATATAAGCTATCTCCATTCATTCGAGAATGAAGATAGCTTATGTATTGAATACAATTATCCTTGTTTTTATTAGAAATGTTACTGCAAAACCTCGAACTAAGGTAAATTCAAAGATTTTCCAGTAAAACTTAAGGTGCACCGGGTCTTAATGTTAAAAGTCTGAACTGTTTCGTGATTATCGTTTTTCCGAACAATTACCCAACATAATGGTGCGTCCACACGATATAGACTTGGTACAAACTTTTTTCGTACAGGCATCTGTACATACTGAAAATTCTGAGTGAAACAGTTCACGCAAATATGTCGACAAAATGTTTAATACCTCATAATTTTATTTTTAAAGATGCACAGCTTTTCTAAAAATTTTGTTCAGTTGTAACGAGATATATATAAAATCTTATATCAAAAAAGTCGTTAATTATTATTATTTTTTATTAATTAATAATTATTTAATGATTAATTCTTTGACTCCAAGTCGTAACCAAAATACGCAGAGTCGCAGACTTACATTTCAACTTTCATGCATAGCTCCCACTTTTATTTGTCTGCACTACTGCTAGACTTTCATTTGTCTACACTACTACTAGTAAACTCGTATGTTGCACAGACAAAATTTTACAGAATTCTACATAAGTCTGTACTAAGTATTTATCGTGTGGACGGACCATAACCTAATACCACATACTAAGCTCAAATGGCAAAAGTCGGAAAATCCGAGTCTATTTTTATAAAATCTTCACAAGTAAAATCTACTTTTGACTGATATAAGAATTTTATACCAACACTAGTGACTCACCTTTGCTACGAACCCGAGCGAACTAAGGACGAACCGGAGCGGTTCGTCCCTAGTTAACGTTTAGTATAGATTTCTAAGAAATGAGATATTTTCCCGCAGTAAAAAGTATCCTATATAATCACCCAGATAACCAGCTATTTACCAAATTTCATCAAATTCTGCCCAATTGTTTTCTCGTGATGCG